ACGTGCGTTTGGCAGGAATGTGTATTCCTCTGATGTGTGGGTTAGGCTGGTTGATGGTGGTGTTGGAGTTCCTGTGGCCTCTGTGCTCTTCTGTCTGCTTGCTCTGCCGACCGCGCTGCCTGTGATTGTGGATTTCTGTGTTTCTTTCCAGTTCTGTCAGTTTTTGCTTCATGTATTTTCAAGCTGTGATACTAGGTGCATACATACTTAGAATTGTTTTATCTTAGTCAGTTGACTGTTTGTTTTTAAAGTGTCCTTTTGTTTCTTTTATATTTGTGGTTCTGAATTTTACTCTGATATTAGTGTAACCATTCCAGCTTTCTTGTGATTACTGTTTACATGATGTATTTTTCTAATTTTTACTTATAATTTCATCTGATTTTATATATGAAGTAGGCTTCTTGTATACACTGTATAGCAAGATCTTGCCCTTTTTTTTTTTTTTGAGACAGGGTCTCTTGCCCTGTTTCCATGCTAAAATGTAGTGGCGTGATCAAGGCTCACTGCAGCCTTGATCTCTCAGGTTCAAGCAGTCCTCCCAGCTCAGCATTTCAAGTAGCTGAGACTGCGGGTGTGCACCACCACAGCTGGCCAATTTTTATTCTTTTTGTAGAAAGAGATCTCACTGTGTAGTCCAGGTTGATCTTGAACTTCTAGGCTCAAGTGATCCTCCTATCTTAGCCTCGAAAGTGTTGGGATTACAGGCATGAGCCACCAGGCCTGGCCAGAATCTTGCTTTTACTCTCATCAGAGAATCTCTGCCTTTTGGTTGGAATGGTTAAAGCAGTGCCTCTGTCCAGTAGGATTTTCGGTAATGATGAAAAGGCCCTGTAATCTGCATTCTTTCGTGTGGCAGCCATTTGCCACATGGGGCTCCTGGGCACTTGAAATGTGGCTAGTGCAGGAAGTAACTGAGTTTACCATTTTATTTAATTTTAATTGATTAAAATCTACATTTAAATTGCTGCAAGGTGTTGATGGCTATTGGAATGGATGAGCCTTGTTCGACTCATGCATCATTAGTGTAAGGCCTTCATGTTTGGCTTTAACTCTACTGTCTTGATGTTTGCTTTCTACATTTCCTTTTTCCCCCCCTTTTTCTTTTCTTTCTCTTCCTTCCTTTTTTTTTGGAGTAGAATTGAGTGCTATTTAGCCTTCCATGTTATCTCCACTGTGGGCTTATGAGTGATTCCTGTTTGTTTCTTTTTTTAGTGGGTGCTTTAGAGTTTACAACATAGATCTTTAACTTTCCGCAGCCCGCCTTCAGATAGCACTGTATCGTGTCCTGTGTGGTGGATCGTCCACACGGGAATGCACTGCTGTGTCCCGCGCCCACCTTGTTGATATGGTTTCAATACATTTGGGTGCGCGTGTTGTTTCTAACACACGACCCTGCCTTGTTCATGTGGCTTCGGTACATTTGGGACCACGTGTCATTTCCGACACGTGACCCCGCCTCGTTTGCGTGGCTTCAGTACGTTCGGGAGCGCGTGTCGTTTGACACGTGACGACCCCGCCTCGTTCGCGTGGCTTCGGTACGTTCGGGGGCGCATGTCGTTTCTGACACGTGATGACCCCGCCTCGTTCGTGTGGCTTTGGTACGTTCAGGACCGCGTGTCGTTTCCGACACGTGATGGCCCTGGCGCGTAGGTGTGGATTTTGCTTTCACAATCAATAGTGTTTTAAATAAATGAAAGTATCTTTTTTCTGTTTACCATTCTGGCGTTCTTTAATTCTTCATGGAGATCCAGATTTCTTGCTGCTCCTTTCACCCTAACTAGCTGCTTCTGAAGTTTCCTGTACTTCATCTGTTGGAACTGATTCTTTTCACTTTTGCTTGTCAAAATCTGCCCCTGTGTTAGAAATCTATTTCCAGTGGGGGTAGAATTCTAGTTGCAAGTTTTTCCTCCCAGCACTTTGAAGACTTCCTTCCATTGTCTTTCGGCTTCCACAGTTTCTGACAAAAGGGCCAAATCTTTCTTATGTTTTGTCTTCCTCATGAAATGTGCAGTATTTTCTCTGGGCCACTTTTCAGGTTTCTTTGTCACTGGTTTTCTGCAGTTTGCCTATAATGTACCTTGGATTTAAAAAATATATATTGGTTCAGCTTGTGGATTGGTGAAATTCTTGAATCTCCGAGTTTATAGTTTCATAAAATTTGGTACTTTTGGTCATTATTTCTGGCAATTCTTTTTGTTTGTTTTGTGTCCCCTCCCCCCTGCTGCCCCCCTTCCTGTGTGTGCCCCTTCCTGGCCTGTGACCTTGAGCAGGTCACCTGCCCATCTGTGAATGGGGAGGGTGATCCTGGGCCCTAGGATGGGTTCTCGTGCTCCTCCTGCCAGAGCTTGTTCCATGGTAAAAGAAAAACTTGAGGTGAACTAAATTTAGAGGAGTTTAGTTGAGCAATGAACAGTTCGTGAATTGAGCAGCCTCCCGAGCCAGAGTATGCTCAGAGACTCCAGCACAGCCACAGGGTAAAAGATTTTGGACAGAAAAAGGAAAGTGACATACAGAAAACGGAAGTGAGGCATGGAAACAGACCGGTTACAGCTTGGCGTTTGCCTTATTTGAACATGGTTCGAACAGTTGGCTACGTTTGGCCAAAATTCAGTGACTGGCACAAGTGTAGGGCACGGTCCGTTTACACTGTCTGTTGTTATCATTCAAGATGTACAAATCAACCTGTAGGCCACACTGAAAATATGTAAGGAGGCACCTTTAGGCTAAACTTGATTTAACTCATCATCACTGTCGTTGTTCCACGAATGCAACTGAGGCCCTGGCTTGACCTTGCTAGGCTGGGCCATGGTGACATTGAGGGGTGGTGGGTGCTGGGTGATGGGGGGGCCGTTCCTCAGGCCTCGCCCTCCTGGAGGCCACCTGGCAGTTCTTCCTTTGTCCAGTCCTTGCCCTGAGTGCGGCTGCTGGACCCGGAGGCCTGGGGCTGGAGCAGGGTGGAGGTAGCCGGATGGAAAGTATGCAGGGGGCCAGGACTTGCCCGGGAGCCAGAGGTGCACAGAGCATCCGTGGACAGACCTGCGCGCTCCCAGATGGAGTGCTAGGATCAGCCCTGCCCTGGCCAGGCAGCTCAGTGACCCCGAGCAGAGCCGGACTTAGGCCTTGTCCTGGTGGAAACCCAGATGTCCAGCCAGGGGTGCTGTGTACCTTCAGGCCGCACCACCTGAGGCCAGTCCACACAGGGTTGGTGTTGGGAGGGTCCCCGTAGCACCCCTAGTGTCTTCTAGCCCTCACACCTGTTTGTAGACCTCAAACCACGCTCTTTTATTGCTAAATTTTAATATGGAAAATTGTAAACTTGCAGAGAAAGTTGAAAGAACTGCACAGACACCCACATAGCTGCCACCTGGATGTCAGCCTGGAGTCTCTACCTGGTTTAGTCACGCCTTTAGTGCCTCCACCTGCGTGCATTTCAGAGTGAACTTGGCCCTCAGTGCGTTTCCTTCTGAACGCTGGTTTACTTGCCATTCACTTTTCTTTCATTTATGTACAGTGAACCGCACAGCTCCTAAATGTGCCATCCTGGGCATTGTGACAGTTTGTGACAGAAGTGTGTAACCCACAGCTCTGTCCAGGCCCAGGGCAGGCCCTCACCCAGGAGCGTCCCTCCGTCCCTGCCCCAGTTCCCCAGCCTGGCCCAGAGGCCCCGGGGATTGCCTTGGTTGTTCTGGACCTGCGACCCGTTTGTGCTGTCGTCTGAGCAGTGTTTCTGAGATTCACCGTGTTGCGTGCCTGGAGTTTCCTTGCACACAGGCCCATGTGGCCGTCCCTTCCCTGGTGTCTCCTGGGCACCAGCCCTCTCTTCGGGTGGGGGCTGGTAGCAGTCAAGCTGCTGGGAGCTGGGAGTGCTCTTCAGGAGCTTCTCCGGATGTGTGCTCTGCTCCTCTGTGAACCCCGGGGCTGCTGGCTGGAGGGTGGGCAGGCCACGAGTGTTTTGATGTGCTTCGATGTACGCTCTGCCCCTCTGTGTAAATGCCCAAGATGCTGCCTGGGGGGCGGGCAGAGGGCGAGTGCTTGCTGCGTGCAGACCCTTCCCGTGGTAGCCGTGCCATTTATCTTCACCGTACGGCGGGCGAGCGTTCCATCCACCATGGCCTCATGTGAGTGTTTGCAGCGTGCAGACCCTTCCCGTGGTGGCCATGCCATTTATCCTCACTGTGCAGCGGGTGAGCGTTCCATCCACCATGGCCTCATGAAGACTTGCTGTCCTCACAATGTTCTGTAGGTTTTTAAAAACTGAGATAAAACCCAGTCACTCAGAATTCACCATCTTAACCATCTTAAAGCGTACAGTTCAGTGTCTGTTAGAATATTCAGCGTTCTATAATCACCACTTTCTAATTCTGAAACGTTTTCATCACCCCTAAAAGGACCCCCGTACCCATTAGCAGTCATGCCCATTCCTCCCTCTCACTGCCCCTGCCCCGGCTCTGTCCGAGCATTGGTTGGTTCTGAAGTGGTAGATGTGTGGAACCATGCAGCATGTAGCCTTTTCCCGCTGGCTTTCATCTCCGTGCGTGCTGTGCTCAGGGCTCACGTGCATTGTGCGGAAACCAGTGTTTCTGTCTCCGATGCTGAGCTGGCGGTGCAGAGCTGGACCTCGTGTCTGTTGCTTCATCAGCGGGGCTGTGCTTTGACTGTTAGTGATGCTGCTCTGAGCCTCCACGAGCAGGTGCTCATAGCTGCCGGGCACACACGCCAGCTGCTACGGTGTACGGGAGCTCAGGGTGCAGCCTTTCTGAGGGACCACCCCCTGCCTTCCTCTCTCCTTCCTTCCAGCTCGTGGGTACTTTGAAGGCAGGCACGGGTGTCCAGCCCTGACCCCAAGGTGGCCAAGCCACAAAGGCAGTGAGAGGGGTTCAGGGCCACTCTGCCGCCTCTCAGGTCCCTGCCCCTGGAGACTGCCTAGAGCGGTTAGCAGAGCTGGGCCTGCAGGCTTCACCCTCAGCCTGTGTTCTCTCCTCCTCCCTGTCTTCTTCCAGCCACCCAGGTCAATCCGCGTGACCTCCAGGAGCTGTTCCAGGAGACGTCGGCCAACGTCTTTCAAATCAACTCCAATGGTGAGTCTGCGTCTGGCTCGGGCCTGCCCCTCCATCCAGGTGCCCTGGACCCCGACACGACGTTGGAGTCGAGGGTACTGATCCATGGCATCCCCCCTCAGGCTGTCTTGTGGTGCAGTCCCGGGTTTCTTGGGTGGGAAGGAGTGAGGGCTGGGTCACGGCCGGGTGCCACTTCCACTGGCTGCTCCTGCCCGCTGCTGGCTCCTCTCCCTGACCCCACGCTGCTCCTTCTCGACACCTTTTGTGTGATCTGGATGGAGCCCAGTGGAGGAAGGAGCATCCCAGGGCCTCTCAGACTTGCAGATCAGAGGTCACTGCAGGAGTGAGCAGAGCCTTCAGTCCTTAGGGACACCTTAGCCTCTCAGAGGGCCCTGTTGATGCACATAACTCGTGTAACTCTGGCCTGGGTCTGTGACTCTCCCATCTCTTCAGTGTGGTGAGCAGAGTTCCCAGCGAAGCTGTTGCATTTAGATCTTTGAGAGCAGGGATGAGAGCCACGTGTCAGATGGCCAGGGGAGGGGTAAGGGAGCAGGGTGGAGAGAAGCTGTCCCCAGAGCCAGGGCAAGACTGCTGGAGGCAGCTCCTCAGAGCCCCTGAGCTGCACGTGGGCCTGAGCGCCTGTCGCAGACCAGCTGGGGAGGGGTCCTGGCTGGTGTGACCTTATGCTGAGGTCAGTGTGTGCCCTGGTCTCCAGGCCACTTAGGTGGTCTGCCCTGGCTCAGGCACTGGTCCTTGGGCTCTGCTCACCCTGCCCTGGCTATAGTGGGCCACCCATGTGGAGTAGCAGGGGCAGGGAAGCTCCTTCTGCCCTCACCCTGTCCCTCTTCTCTTGGGCAGTGACCTCTTTGGAGCAGAGCCTTCAGTCCTTAGGGACACCGAGGGACACGCAGGAGCTTCGGGACAGCCTGTGAGTGTGTGGGCCATGGCATCTCCATGCCTGGGCGTGGTGCACGTTGGGGGGCAGGGGTGGGAGTGTAGTCCTGTGCACACAGGCTTTGTCCACACAGCTGCCTGCCCACAGCTGCCTGGGCACACGTATATGCACACACACCTACGGATAAGCATATATGCACACACACCCACAGCATATATGCACACACACCTACGGATAAGCCTAGTCAGTGCTGTGAACCTGAGACTGGGCTCTCAGCCTGCAGGCTCCTGGGGCACGCAGGTGCACCCCGCCCCGACGTGGAAGCCTCAGTGCACCTGTGCATGCCCCAGTCACGCGCATGCGTGTGCTAAGGTTGGGGGGTGCATGCCTGCTGGCACACGCTTTTCCCTGCCAACGTGCTCCAAATGTGTCTTTCACGTCTGAAGGCTCCCTGTTGGGGCCTGCTCAGCTGTGGACACAGGAGGTGAGACCGATGTGCCATTTGCACAGCCACGGGCTAGGTTGGAGTGGGGCGTCCTGTCTTGCTTCTGCCCTTTCGGGGAACTGAGCCTTGGCGGGCTCCCACTGGACTTTCCTTGAGGGGTGCCTAGCAGCCTGCCCTGGGTTGGGCTGGTCTGGGATGGGGAGAGGTGCCTTGGGTGCTGTCTGCTAAGCCTGAGCCCTGGCTGGGCTGGGGAGGGGAGGGAAGGGAGCATCTGCCCCAGATGTGGTTAGAGTGGCACTCTGGGGTCCAAGGGGACACTAGCCCTCCATCTGGTCCCCGCTGCACTTGCTGCTGTGACCTTCCATGCTGGCCTGTGTCTCACCCTGCAGTGAGCAGGATGCCCGCAGCCCCAAGGACCCCAGCCAGCCCCAGGCCACTGCATTGGGATGTTGTCCTCAGACTCCCCTGTGCAGAGCTGGTGGCCACACCAGCCTCGCGCCCTGAAAGGGCCAGAACTGAGGAGGCAGGGAGGGCCACGGTTCCCACAAGGGTGGAGGGTGCTGGAGTCTCTGCTCCTCCTCACAGTGGCTCCATTCAATATCCACAGGTGCCCTGCCACACAGCCTCACGCTCCAGCTGCAGAGCACCCTTTGCAGATGTTCAGGGCAATTCTATTCTTAGCTTTTTTTTTTAAGCCCTTTTATAAAACTGAAACTTACTGTTTTCTGATGTGACAGTGACGTAGGCTTGTGATGAGGAATTTGGACACAGGACGCCTGGGAACCACTGTTAGCATGTCAGTATTCCCTGCCAGCCTTCCTCACACCCATGCATATTCGCAGAGTCAGAGCTCAGCGAGGGACTCTGGACCTGCTGGTCACACCCGGGCTCTGGGGTACTCGGGCTCAGGAAATGCGTAGCCTCTCAGAGGGCCGTGTTGATGCATGTAACTCGTGTAACCCTGGGCCAGGTCTGTGGCTCTCCCATCTCTTCAGTGTGGTGAGCAGAGTTCCCAGTGAAGCTGTTGTGTTTAGGTCTTTGTGCCTCTGCCCGGCTCCTGGGTTAGGTCACAAGGGCCAAGTGGGACGGGCACTTCAGGACCCTGGCCCTCATGTGGGCATCCTGGGCCACCCGGCCTGGTTAGCCGAAGACCGACACCACCCGCTGTGGGCCTTGGAGAGGAGAGAGGGCCCCAGCGTGGGGTAGGAGACTGTCCTGGTCTGAGGACCGAGTATCCCAGCACCGTGGCCCTCCCCTGGGCCAGCCTCAGCTGTCAGGTCTGGACACTCTTGCCTTAGTACTTTTCTGGCCCTCCCTGTGTGGCCGGCTGTGGTCCTAGCCTGCTTGTCATGGCTTATCTAGAACCTTCTATGGCCCCTCGGATGCTCCCATATCATGGACTGTTAATGTTTAAAAATAACTTTTGAGACCAACGTGGTTGCCAGTTCTGTGTTTCCTCGACATTGATGAAGTTGCCAACTAAGGACATTTAAAGAATATACCTTCATCCATGGCCGCCATCATTTCATCAGGGAAGAGGCTTTCCAGCCCTGCAGTGTAGGAGGGACCCAGTCTCAGGAGGGACGGTGGTCCTTCCACCTGAATACATTCAGCTTCAGAAAAACCTCGCCAGGTGGGGCCCATTTCCCTCATCCCATGTAAGGCTGATGTGGCCAGGTCATTTCTGTCACCTGCGAGCAGACGCCACCCCAGGCCTCCCTGTCACAGACCCCTACACTGGAGTCCAGTGGCCACGTTGCAGTCCCGTGGGTGGAGCTCAGTGGCAGCTCGGCTTACACACCCCTGTCTGGGCTCTATTCCCTTCTACTCTGGGGGCCGTCACCATGTGAAGATGGTATGTGGGCCGGCTCACCCCATGGTGTGTGGCTGTCAGAAATACTCGTTCCTTAGTGCCGAAAAGAAGAACTAGTTTTCAGACAAAGAATTTTCTCAGCAAAGCAATTTTGCTTTCTGCAGAAGGAGTGCTGTCTGTTAGCAATCCTGCCACGACAGCACAATTGAACAAAGGCAGGCAAGAATATTTATCCCTTATGCATTGGGTCTTTTAGACCTGATTGGCTAACAACTTAAAACTTTCCTGAATAGGTAAAGGCAAAGGAGAACAAAAGGAAAAGAGGAAGTTGCTTGCAAAAGAACTTAGAAAAGTAGTAACATTTCCAAATAAGGAGGGCATGTAGCCTGTGAGCTGGGACATGCTTGAGCATGTTTAGAACAAGTATCTTGGTTAAAGTACAAGGACATAGGATGTACTTATTCTCTGATATCTAACAGCTACATAGAATAGGACTTAGCAAAGAGTTATTAGTATAAAAGCAAGGAGGCTTGAAGGAAGTTAGTTTTTTTAAAAAACTATTATTTCTAACACTTACGATTTATTCTTTAGTAAGAAGGGAAACTTTGAAGAGGACATTTTTTACTTTCCACAGTGGCACAGAGGACCCGCTCCCCTTGGGGCTTGTGGACTTGTTCCTGTGGGCCGTGTTCTCTGATCTGCCTGGGGCACGCGTGTTCTCTGATCTGTCTGGGGCACGTAGTGATGCCTCCCTCTCACCTCCCCCATTGTGGTGAAGGTGTAGGTTGGGTGGCCCCAGTGGGGGTGCATTAGAGGTGGCTGCTGAGGGTCTGCTGGCCCACTGCCCAGCATGCAGCTATGGGAGTGGGGTCTGGGTGAGCTGGGCTGCTGCTCCACGTGAGGTGTGCTCTTCTTCCCGGCCCGGGATTTTTATGTTCGAATCAGCACCAGAAGGGCTCAAGGAGCCTTGGATGACGATCATTCGGCACCGCAGGGCCGCGCTTGGCAGCTCTTTCAGGGGCTTAGTCCTAACAGCCCGCCTCCTGCAGTGAGAGCTTAAGCAGGGCAGGGCCATGATCCGTGTGTGCGGTTCATCCCCTCCCACTGGATTGAAGGCAAGTCCCTGTGGCAGAGGGGTGGCCAGCAGGGTGTGAAGAGCTGACCTCCTGCAGTGCCCGATGGCGGGCTCTGTGAGGGGGCCAGAGAGGGCTCACAGTGCCCTCTATATGTAAGGACAGACCCATTCGCCAGCTGGTGCAGAATTGCACGCCTCTGTCCCTCTGTAAGGATGGACCCGTTCACCAGCTTGTGCAGAACTGTGCCCCTCAGTCCCACTGAGAACGCACCCATTCGCCCATTCATACAGAACCGTGCTCCTCTCCTGCTGTAAGGATGGACCCGTTCACCAGCTTGTGCAGAACTGCACCCCTCTGTCCCACTGTAAGGACGGACCCATTCACCAGCTGGTGGGCATTTGGGTGACTTCATTTTGACCACGATGAATAAAGCTGTGGTGAATGTAGGTGTGTAGGTGTTTGCGTGGGTGTAGGTTTTCACCTGTCTTGGATAGATCCCCAGGACTGGACTTGCTGGGTTATACGGTGGCTCTTTGTCTAACCCTTTGAGGAACTGCCAGACTTTCCAAAGCAGCTGCCCCATTTTACACTCCCACCAGCAGTGCTGGAGGGTTCCCATCTCCCCACCTCACTGCCAGCACTTGTTGTTGTATGTCTTTTGGGTGTGGCTTTCCTAGTGGGTGCAAAGTGGGGTCTTGTGGTGATCTCATTTGCATTTTCCTGATAATTGATAGCTTCAAGCATCTTTTGATTTGCATATCTTCTTGGAATAAATGTCTGTTCAGATCCTTTGCCCATGTCCTGATTGGGTATTTTTCTTTTTACTGTTGAGTTAATTCCTTCTAGAATTTTTCTCCTCCTGTGCAGCCCATGCTCTCCAGGGCCGTCACTGGTGCTGGTTCCTCATCTGTCTCATGCTCTCTGGGGCCCTGGCAGGTTCCTCATCTGTCTCATGCTCTCTGGGGCCTTCACTGGTGCAGGTTCCTCATCCGTCTCATGCTCTCCAGGGCCCTGGCCTTTGCTGGTGCTGGTTCCTCATCCGTCTCATGCTCTCCGGGGCCCTGGCCTTTGCTGCTGCAGGTTCCTCATCCGTCTCATGCTCTCCAGGGCCCTGGCCTTTGCTGCTGCAGGTTCCTTATCTGTCTCATGCTCTCCGGGGCCGTCGCCTTCACTGGTGCTGGTTCCTCATCCATCTCATGCTCTCCTGGGCCCTGGCGTTCGCTGCTGCAGGTTCCTCATCTGTCTCATGCTCTCCGGGGCCCTCGCCTTCACTGGTGCTGGTTCCTCATCCGTCTCATGCTCTCTGGGGCCCTGGCCTTCATTGGTGCTGGTTCTTCGTCCATCTGCTCCAGCCTCTTTTCCTCTCTGCTCTCCTCCCCTCCCTTGGTGGTATTGCATATCCCACAGCTCAGAATCCCTCCTCAGTGGAGCGTTGGAACCCTAGGTGTCCCTCCAGCCCTGCCACCTTCTAGCCTGCTAACTTAGGGTCCTTCTGGACTGACCTGGGGTCTCCCTGTCAGTCCCAGGCCAAGGAAGGGACCTCCAGGACCCCACCCTACCCCTGCCCTCACCGGTCATGGGCTGGCCTGTCCACGTCTCTTGAGCTGTCCCGTGTCCACGCGCTTCTCACCTTCCTCTCCACCTCCCGGTCCAGGCCCAGCCTTGGCCTCTGGGCTCCTGCACTTTCTCCTCTTGGCCT